ACTGCAGGTTACCAAATTACCTCACGATCACGATCACGATCACGACCACCCTGTTGTTCGTCGATTGCCTCGAGCAGGTGCCAGTAACGTCTTCTTCGTCCTAGCCCTGAGATTTTTTTTTAAAGTGCCATATTCAAGGCTTTTTCAGGGTTAGGAGAATGAGACCCATCATTGTTACTGGTATTTGGCATATTGGGTATACCACGGGGAGTTTGCCAGACTCTGCCGTGTGGGCATGTTACATTTGGTAGCCTGCCAGTTTGACCAAATTAGGAATGAGATGATAAGATGTCGCGCGGGAGCTGAGTGTGATGATCTCTGGATCCTGGCCGTTGTTGGAGTTACACGGCAGTTGGTGGGTGTAACTGTCTAGTTACTGGCAGGCCCAGTCCCAAACTGTGCAGGCTTGGAGATCTCAGCCCCGGGTCCCACACACCTGGGTTCCTCTATCAGTTCTTTTATGCGTGAGGCTCATCCAAGTGTGTGGAGAGTGCTCCCAGCATGGCCTTGGCTGGGCCTCGATGGTCTTCAGCTGTTGGGCCCTGGTGGAGACAGTCAGGCATAGGGTAGGAGACTCTGTCTTGTTCTCTCCCAGGAGCTGAGTGTGATGATCTCTGGATCCTGGCCGTTGTTGGAGTTACATGGCAGTTGGTGGGTGTAACTGTCTAGTTACTGGCAGGTCCAGTCCCAAACTGTGCAGGCTTGGAGATCTCAGCCCCGGGTCCCACACACCTGGGTTCCTCTGTCAGTTCTTTTATGCGTGAGGCTCATCCAAGTGTGTGGAGAGTGCTCCCAGCATGGCCTTGGCTGGGCCTCGATGGTCTTCAGCTGTAGGGCCGTGGTGGAGACAGTCAGGCATAGGGTAATTACCTCATCTTGAAATAATCCACGTCTCAAAGTGGCATGTCATGGAAAGCCACTTCTGAACATTCTTTGTGAAAAGTAGGGGAAAACATGGGCTCAACATCTTGGAAAGGCCTTCTTCATTAAAAAAGCAGAATTACAGTCTAAAACTTAGTAATAATGCAATGTATATATGCAAAACAATAAATGAATAGCAAGGACCAGAGATCCTAAGTATCAAGAGTCAGATCAAAAGCACAGGTGTATTGTGTTTGACCTAAAAAGTATACTAACAGAAGTGAAGCAACTGTAAGTAGAGACTTTGTTCTGAAAATAAATGCAGACGTTCACCTTCTCTGACAAAAGAGAACATTTGGCAACACTGAGATCTATTCCATTCAAGGTAGTTATCAACAAAAGCCAGATTATTCTTTAGAAATGTGCTCTCCAGGTCTCCAAATTTCTCACAACTTTCTAGCAACGCTCGATGATTTACGATTGTTTGGCTGAAATAATTCATTCTACCAGGTCCTATATTTTTCTGAATGTAAATGTGCTGTAAAAAAAACAGTTCTAAAATGTTTTTTAAAGGCAAGAATGCTGGTTTGGGTTAATTGTATATCCTAGCCACCCAGAATTACATCATATTGGCTCATAATACCATTCAATAAATCTGTGTATATGTGTGTGTGAGAGAGAGAGACAGACAGACAGACAGACAGACAGAGACAGAGACAGGGACAGAGGGACAGAGAGAGACAGCAGAAACAGAGAAAGGAAGCTCTTCAGGCTACTTTGAATAAGGAAAATATACAATATACAAGTCCAATGCGCTAGCACAGCGTTAGGGCATTTTCCTTCTGCACAGCCGGCCCTGGTCAACTTGGGTTCGATTCCTCCACCCCTCTCAGAGAGCCCGGCAAGCTACCGAGAGTATCTCGCCTGCACGTCAAAGCCTGGCAAGCCACCTGTGACGTATTCAATATGCCAAACAGAGTAACAAGTCTCACAATGGAGACATTACTGGGCCCGCTCGAGCAAATCGATGAACAATGGGGTGACAGTGACAGTGACAATATACAAAAGGGGCTGGAGTGCACAGTGGGTAGGGCATTTGCCTTGCATGTGGTCGACCCGTGTTAGAGTCCTCTGTCACTCTCGGAGAGCCTGGCAAGCTCCCTGTGGTTTATTCCATTTGCCAAAAACAGTAACAAGTCTCACAATGGATACATTACTAGAGTCCGCTAGAGCAAATCGATGAACAATGGGAGGACAGTGCTACAGTGCTACAAAAGGAACTCAGGTTTAAATTGATTCATGAAATAAGTAGTATTAACATGCAAAAATACAGGAAATGAGAATTGAGATAGTACCAAATTAGTACTTAATATTTGTTTAATCTCAGAGAATTTACTTAACCTCTCTGAGCCTATTTCTTCACCTCTTAAAGTAAGATTTAGCGTGTCACTATGAGAAAGAACGGAAATTATCTATGCAGTAGGATTAAAAAGTAGTAGTTATAACAAGAACAAGAAGAGTTCGTCATGACTGACTAAAGATAAAAGCCAATGGAAGTATCAGTTAAAGACATGGTAGGCAACCCAGTTAGACTAAAATGTTTTACAGAAAGAAGGAAACCAGAATAGATGGGAATGGAGGGAGAAATAGAGAGGGCAGATTCAGTCACCACTTCTACCTCCAGATAACTACATCACTAACTGCACTGTGGGATGTAATAAAGATCAAGATCTATGAAGTGAATCTTTTTCTGTAGAAACAAACATGAACACAGGTCTGGTACTTGCTAGGAGAACAAATCTGAGGCAATTTGTTGTTGTCAAGTATATTTAACAATAGTTTCCATGAAACACCAACCGTAAAGCTAAGTGAATGGTGAATGCTAATCACAATTCTCTTTTCTGTGACTTCCAGCCATCATTGTTAACCTCCTGTACTAGTCTTTCCTTTCTCTTGTGTTTATATTTGTCTCTTTCCCATTCTATTCTCTACCTTTTCATCCTTGGGTTTTGCTTTACTTTATTTGCCTGTTTATCTGGATCTTGGACTTTCAGTATGTTGTTTACCAAAGATAATCTTAGTGAAAAACAATTACAGAGCACTTACTGTATAGCAGACATTGCTGACACTAGATCTAAATGCAGTTGCTTGTGCAGTCCTTAGAAATACTTCACACTCATCAGCATGAATGAGACTAGTTGCTTCCAGGTAAATCAATTTGCAAACTGCATCAGCTTGAAGTTAAATAAAGCCACGGTGTCATCCAGGTGCACTCACATTCCCTACAATTTCAAAAGTGCATCTAAGAGAATAAGCATAAGAACAAGAGCTAGGAAACCTGATGAATTTACCAATAGAGTGACAAGAAGTAACCATTGTGCTAACAGGAAAGTCAGGGTGGAGGCACACATATTCTTCTGACCCAGGAAGGCATTTCTGTCTGGCAGTTTACGCATGAGAAAATATTATAGCTATGCAGAAAGATGTGTCTGAAAGATACTCCTTGAAATCTTGTATATGTAATACTACAAAAATAAAACAAGCCTTAGTGCCTTATAGGTTAATTCAATGGTTGTTTATTCTCATATATTATTAATAAAGATATCACAAAATATTTATTTATTATAATGTGGAAGGATGACGCCTGAAATAAGGCAGGTTGTAAAGCAAAATGTGCCACGTGAACTTGTATTTGCAGGTACAGTGGAGAGACAAAAAGCGAAGGCTAGGAATGTTAAGAATAATGAACTCTAAGGGCTAGAGGGATAGTCCAGTGGTTAATGAGCATGCCTTGCATGTGGCCAGCCTGGGTTCAATCTCCACTACTCCATATGGCCCTGGCAGGAGTGGCCCTTGAGCTCAGAGTCAAGAGTAAGCCTTAGGTATGGGCGGTGTGCCCCCTCAAACCAAAAATAATAATATTAAATAATAAACTCTGAAGGTAAGATGATCTAGGGTTTTGTTTTGTTTTTGTTTCCTTTGGGGGCCATATGCAGCACTGCTTTAAGAGTAGCTCCCTCAGGGAGTTCCCCTACAGTTGAAAGGGGGTGGGAGGATGATCAAACTAGGCAATCCACCATTCAAAGCATGAGCTCCAGTCCTTTGTGTCATCTCCCCAGCCAAGATTATCTGATTTATTTTTTAATGTTTTGCTTCCTATTTGCTTCTAGTATTAAATGTTGCCATATACCACTAATATAACAAGAAAAATTGTTATCAGTTCCTATGGCATAGTTGATAAATAAATATATATATACACATATATATACACACATACATATGGATTCAGTAAAGGATAATTAATTAAGAAAAAATACAGTATAGGGGGCTGAAGCAATAGCACAGCAGGTAGGGTGTTTGCCTTGCACATGGCCAACCCAGGTTCAATTCCCAGCATCGCATCCCATATGGTCCCCTGAGCATCGCGAGGAGTAATTCCTGAGTGCAGAGCCAGGAATAACCCCTGTGCACTGCTGGGTGTGACTCAAAAAGCAAAAAAAAAAAAAAAGGATATATAAATTGAAACTGCTTGGTCCCTGAGTATCTGAGTTTAGAGTTTAATGTACATGTATTATCCATATATATATAATATTGTCTATACAGCATATAGTATAGATACATATATTTACTACTGAGATAGTCATATGATATGTTTAAACAAAAGTTATACTTGTATATATATATATTACTGTACATTCCTATACATTTATGGTATATGATATATACCATATCACAATATTACCATATCACAATATATGTTTATATATATTTAAACCATAGACACTCGTCTATATATATATATATTTATATATGTTTAAACCATAGACACTAGTGTGTCTTACAAACGGTGGTTAGGACAAAGAGATAATGGGACGTTGCTGATCTAAGATGATAGATAGATAGATAGATAGATAGATAGATAGATAGATAGATAGTTCCAGTAGAGAGACAGACGTCAGCTAATCTCTAAGTCCAGGAGGCTCTCAGAGCCAAATGTGCAGCAACACAGGCGGGGCCCCAAGCTCTGGTCCAGGCTTCAGCTGCTTCAGCTTCTGGTCCAGGCTTCGTTAACCAGCGAGAGGTTAATGCAAACCACTGACCTTCCCCGCGCTGTGCCTGAGCGTGTCTCCCTCTGTCAGGTCGATGCCCACGGTAACATTCTGCTCAGCACCCTGGAGATCCGGAACGAGACGAGCGGCACGGAAGTGCTGACGGGCGTGAGCGAGCCCAGGACCACCATGTACGCGTACGACAGCGCCAGCATCCACTACCGCAAGCCCCTGAGCAGCCGCGAGGGCTACGGGCGGGCGCTGGACCGCCACGGGGCGCACAGCAAGGGCCGCATCCGCAGGCGCGCGTCGCAGCTCAAAGTCAAGATCCCCGACTTGACTGATGTGAATTCCATCGACAAGTGGTCCCGAATGTTCTTCCCCATCACCTTTTCTCTTTTTAACGTCGTTTATTGGCTTTACTATGTACACTAAGATCTGTCCGAAGGGTTGCTTGTATGAGTCCTTTCCTCTTGACTTTGAACCCCACAGGTCCCCTGCAGCCCTCCTGCTGTTTTCTTGAGGTAAGAGATTCAGCCATGCGATTTGTGTTAGGTTTTGCATATCAGTTTTATTACTGCACCATGTTTACTTCCAAAAGGACAAGTCTCCTGTTTTTCCAGGCTAGTGTGGTCCAGGTTATCAGCTCTTTGGAGAGCTCTGTGAATTGCCATGTTTACAAACACGCACGTGTTGCGCGCACATCACACACAAACACACATGCACATACACAGAGGGGGGAGGGGAGAGAGAGAGAAAGAGAGAAAAAGAGAAAGAGAAAGAGAGAGAGGAGAGAAAGAGAGAGAGAGAGAGAGAGAGAGAGAGAGAGAGAGAGAGAGAGAAATTCCATCCTGTGGGTGGATCTTTAGTAGTCCTTCCTTTGTGACCCTGGATTTTGGTGACTTGCAATGAAAATGCAAATGAGGACCATGCTCTGTGAGTGTGTGTGTGTGTGTGTGTGTGTGTGTGTATGCGTGCGTGCGCGTGCACACCACTTCCTGATGAGCTGTAACAAACTCACGCTGCCAAAAACAAAAACGAACAAAATCAACACAATTTCTAGGAACTCTGAAGAGAAAACAAAGCCATTGACAAGTTGTAACTTTCCAGGAAGAAGGGAAAGCAAAAAGGAACCAAAGCAAAAAGAAGGGGAAGGAAGACATCCCTGCCTCCTGGCGTCCCCCAAATCCCCTCTAGCAGTGCTCTTCCTCACAGAAGAAAGAGGGAGAGATGGTCAGAACAGGGGAACTAAACCTAAGATGCCAGATCCACCTCAATCTTAGGCTGACTATTCTGAAAAATGCCTCTGAGACTTCCCGGCAATATTTCAATGAATGCTAGAACCTATCCTGGGAGTCACAGAGAATATTTTTCATTTTTTTCTTGAGAATGAGTTTTGGGATGAGACAGGTTTTTGTTTTGTTTCATTTTTTAACTGTCAAAGGAGCTACCCTGAATTTTGGTCATTAACCTGAACTCTCTTGACCCTGTGTCATGAAGCCATGCCGCCCCCCTCCCCCAGAAAGGGGAGGGATGCTTCAAAGAGGGACGTGGAGACCAGCTTCTGTTGAGAAAAATATTGTCCTTTTCACAGGGAAGGCAAGATTTATGTGCTGTGAAAAGCGTGCCTGTGCAGTTACCTGAACTGCCAAATCTTAAATCATATAGTATATATTTCTTAGCCTTCCAAGAACAGTATCCACTGGTGACAGGCTGGTTGCACAGACCTCAGCCAGCACTTGTGACTCTGCTCTTTTGAGCTCTGCATTCCAAAATACGAAAAAATGTTCAGGAAATACACACATACACACACACACACACACACACACACACACACATACACACACACACACAGGTGTATTTCTCCCAAAGGGTCAGATATCTATTTTAAGGAAAATCTTCAAAACCGCAAAACTACAGATAACCCCAATGACAAAAATCACTGGGCCTTCACACACTTAGAAGCAATTCTAAGGTATAGATTCTGTCTACATTCATTACTCATTGTCATTACCTCTGCCTTATCTCTGCTTACATATTACTTTCATCATGCTTTTCATAGCAGGGGGACCCCTTGGTAGCCCCACATGCATTCCTAAACGTATTTAATCATCTACAGTTGAGATGCCATTTGTGCCATTAAAGCCTTGTTTTTTCAGCCTCAGTAAGTTACACGTTCATTTGCAAGGTTCGGTGAAATCCTAAAGTGTCCAACCAATGATGGTGATTTGGGACCTGATCCATAGATGTAAAATAAGGATTGAGATCATAGTACAGACAGTTGCCTCATTTGATGATCTGGCTCTCTCACTAAGGCATTAGGGGATGTATTTACAATAGCATCAGCTGCTAGAAATTACAGTGTTAATTAGAAAGATAAGGTTGAATTCCTACTGATGAGACCAGGGAGAATATCGTATATAGATATTCTTTTAAAAAGTAGGAGAGAAATAAAGCCCTAAGTAAATGAATGCTCAAATTATAGAGAATATGTAGGTTCCATAGTAGGAATAGGTAGACTGCTTTTACTAGAAAAAGTCATCTCAGTGGTTTCATAAGAAATCAGAGGGACATGGGGATCAAAATTTCATTTGGTTTTCAGTTGTATAATCATAGTAACTTATCCAAAGAAATCTCCAGAATTTGGTGATAAAGTGATTTCTTTTAACTGATTAGTTTCATGACAGGGTAAGATGCTTTGCCATCAGAAAATGCATGAATAGACTGTGATGTGCTCACCCCAGTGATTGTAAAAATCATTATTTCCACTGACTACCCAGGAACCACAGTGTAGCCATTTGTTTTAACACACACAGGAGTTGGCTTTGAATGTGTGTTGGGGGGGGGGGGGTCGTTATTTGCTTGATTTTTTTATTTTTTGTTTTTTTCTGATAGCTAGAACAAATGAATTATTCTGATGTCAAAGTTCTTCCTAAAGCTTTTAAGGATGAAGTGGTAAATCAGAACAGGAGCATCTAAAATTTACAATTTTCTTTAGCTTTTGAGATCATTCTTCTCGGAAACGATTCAGTCTGAGGTTTTATGTGTATATAACCTCAGACTAACATAAAAGGTAAAGGTAAAGACCCTCCCGTTGATCATCGATTTGCTCGAGCGGGCCCAGTAACGTCTCCATTGGAGACTTTATTGTTACTGTGTCTGGCATATCCAATACTCTCGGTAGCTTGCCGGGCTCTCCGAGAGGGGCGGAGGAATCGAACTCGGGTCGGCCATGTTGGCCGCGTGCAAGGCAAACGCCCTACCCGCTGTGCTATCGCTCCAGCCCTCAGACTAACATATATATTCATTTTTTACCTTGCTACAGAATTCTAAAGATTTTGGTGGCTATAGTTTTTTATATAAAGCAACTTAAGGGAGGGAAAGAATTACATTTTGATTTCTTATAAAGTGGCTTATGAATTGTAAAATTAGAAGCCTGAATATGTCATCAGGCACAAATTAACGTGACTGTGTGTTCTTCTGGACATAAAAGAGAGCACAGCCACTATAATGCAAATCATGCTAAGTAGTTTTGATTTTGAAGGCAGTGGCAGATGAAGGAAATAGAAGCTGTAATTTTTCTGGCTAATAACCTTTATCTTCGCTTCCTTCTTCTAGGTATTTCCTAGCCAAATTCTCCCTTCTTTTCCTCCTTCCCTCCCTCTTACTCTCCACTCCCACCTCTCACCAGTATGTGACAGAAACTTCATTTTCTGCTTCTCTCCCTGTCTTACCCTCAAATCATGCAGCAAAACATAAAAAGTTATTAGACATTATTTTCTTCAAGTGAGTCCCCATTCCTGAAAAATTCTGATCATGAGATTGTAGAGAGTTATTATTTAACCATTATTGGGTTGTTTTATCTTCGCCATGCAAATGATCATAATCTTCAGCATGATCAAAGTGCCCTCAGAGGCTGAAAAATGGCAAGACTCTCTCATGCCAATCATGTTCATGTCCACAGTTCATACATAAGAACAGAAACTAGGTCATAGACTTGATCTGTGTAGACTTAGCAGAAATTACATCTTTCATTTGACAATGATAACTACATTTTCATTTCTTCTACTCTTGTTCTTTGGCCTAAACATCAGGGGTAACATACACACTCATTCCACTTACCAGCTCTGAGAGGCAAAAACTTATTTTTGGCTTGCATTAGCCAGGACTCTTGCCTCATTTTTTACATTGCCAAATAGAAACAGCTGACTGGTTGGTAATTCTGCTGACTAACATACTTTTACATAATAGCATCTTTCTTATGCATTATAAAGATCAGTGAACAATCTTGAAAACCTAGAAAGAAAAATATGGTGTATAGACTAAAGTTTGCTTTATCGTTCCCAGCATATGCTTTCTCTAAACAAACATCATGTACAATACACAGAAGTGTTGACTAATTCTGTCTTTCTAAAGTAAATGACAACTTTATAAATGCTGATCTAAGAAAGAGCTCAATTAAAATTTTCCAAGTTAAATACAAAACGATATGTTTAAAATCTACAAAGAACTGGTATACAAGATGTTTTAAAGCATGGACAGTTTGAAATAGAATCTAACCAAAGGATGATGTGCCACTTTTTCTTCTAAGCAAAATACGCTCACATTTCCCAGGCAGAAGGAAAAATAAATGTGCAGGCATTTGTATATCATGTTGGTTTCATCAAGTTACTAGAATGAGCAGGATAGAAAAACAAACAAAATCTGTTTCCTAAAAAGCCAACAGTAAACATAAAAGTAAGCTTGATAACAGAATGTGGACTATTATGTAAACTTCTTTGTAAATTCTGTACATAGTTCATTGAACTGTTCCCTGTTGCGTGGTGGTCTTCAGCTTTGGGTGAATGTTTGAAAAAATCTGAGCACTGTAAATAATGTAAGCTTATAAGGCACTTGCTTTTACTCATGAAGTGAAATGACAAATGATTTGGGTCCAAACCAGAATCGTTTTTGCTCTTGCTCTTTCTCTGCCATTTTGTGTATGCAGTTTTGTGACTCTGCCCGGTGTCTGTCATCACTGCCTCATGTCCTAACCCCACTGAAAGGGATGACAGATCCCCTGGGGCTTGGGAACAGTGCACTAGCAGCGACAGGATCTGTAGCCAGCTGCTCCTGAACTGTCATGAAAAGTAAAGGTGTTTTTAGCAGTCATTTGTGGCGATTCTTATATTCAGACGCTGAATTCTCTCTGCTGTCAAGAGGGTCCAAAATGTCAGAGAGGATCAGTTTCCACAGGTAATTCCAAGCTTAATTTGCACCAATAGCTTTAGCTTCTAACCTTTTCTCTTCTGCAGTGTCTCCCAGAACTTCTACTAAGAGTAAAAGTGGATGGATGAGTCTAATTAGGGTGAACATATTAGTGTCTAAAGGATAGGAAGGAAAAAAAGAAGAGATAGCAAATGATACTGACAAGCCTCATAGTCTGGGAAAAATCCTCAGAACGGTGGAATATCATGCCATAAGATGTGTTTCCATGAAAACCGGTCGTCCCAAAGAGAAAGCATCTGCGTAAATACATAATGTCCAAGCAAAGTGGAGCATAGATAAGATTCTCAGTAATACGTTAGAGTGCACAACCTCCTTCTTAATCCAGGAACTTCACAAGAAAGGACATTTTATGCCAGCATCTCAAATGCTATTAGGGTAGCCATTTTAGTGGGACACTTTGCTACCAAATGTACCAAGTAG